TGGGAAAAATGCAGACTGGCTGACTTAAAAAGTAGCTTTTATCCGTTAATTTTTTCAGCTAAAAATAAAACAGTCAGCACAATCACATTTAACTTCTTGCGAGATTAAGGGAGATCTCGAAGATTATTTCTGTTGGCGTAGAAGGTAAAAAGTCTTCGAAAAGACGGCGACACGATGTTCTACTAGTTTTATTATTTTGGCTAGGCGCGCTCGAATTTAAAATACTGAAATTTCTATTTTTCTGTTGCCTTTATATTTTCCTCGGTAATTTTCCCCGATTTTCAGTACATATATCTTTAAAAACAAAAGCAAACAGCCAACGAGCGAGGAACAAAAATTCCTTGAACAGTGATGCGATATTTTTCGTCTAATACTTCACAGTTGGCGATTGAGGTTTCTTTCGCAGTTAGCCTCCGCTTGCGCACCCCGTTCAGAGAAGTCATTCCCGGCTAAACTTTCAGATGAAACCAGTTTTAAGATGGACAGTATTTTGATTTGAACTCGTTTGTTGGTAAATCAAAAGGCACCTTGTTAGCGGTCAACAACTTGCAGACGGATTCAACTGCGCGATACACTCACATTAATTCCGTAAATAAAGCAAATCCTGAGAAGATATGAACAACCATATGAATTTTCTGAATTTCCATGGCACATATTAAGGCATATTTTCCTACCATAAGACCATAAAACAATAAAAAAAGACAGCAAAATCGATCCTTCTCTCCGCCGACGACGGATCATTCTCGAAAACAACCACGCGAGGAATAAGCGCTTTCAACTTCCGGCGTTTCCGACAGCCAATCAGATCTTGTGGCATTGTTCCAACAGCCAATCAGCGTTACGGCGAAAATCTGGCCGTAACGAGCACAAACGTGAGAGAGTTTGTATCAGGCCCAATTTTAGCTGTAGCCGTTAGAGAGAATGTATAAGAACCGCAAAAATTGGGCCTGATCTCAGGTTATTCACGTGAAGGAAGATAGGGCATAGACGACCAGTCGTTTCGCCGTTGCATTATTGCCCCATGTAAGGGAATCCCGAGTCCGGAATCCGGGAAAACGTTTGCTTGTGGAATCCGGAATTCAGCAATGTTTTGCTGTGAAATCTGGAATCCTGGGCTGTGGCATCCAGAATACAGGACAAGGAATCCGGAATCCCACTAACCATTGCGATCGAGAATCTGGAATCTGGATTCTGGATTCTGGAATCTGGAATCTGAAATCTGAAATCTGAAATCTGAAATCTGAAATCTGACATCTGAAATCTGAAATCTGACATCTGAAATCTGAAATCTGAAATCTGAAATCTGAAATCTGAAATCTGAAATCTGAAATCTGGAATCTGAAGTCTGAAATCTGGAATCTGAAATCTGGAATCTGGAATCTGGAGTTTAGAATCTGGAATCCGGGATCCTCCACGTGGAATCTAGAATCTAAAACTGTCTTGGATTCCCTTACATCGAGCCTTAAAATAGTACCGCGACAGAAAACCGAATATTTCTTTAGGTGAAGTACGATTTAGGAGCTTTGTAAGAGATGACAAGAAAAGGCTCTAACAGCTTTGTATAGTTCGTATAATATATAGATTTAGCCAGGGCTAAAAGCGAAGCTCCCATTAATAAATTTATGATTTAAATCAAACAATAAACTTGTAATCCACAAATCAGTTAACTTAAGGGCACATTCATGTGACTTTTGAGGGAAAGGCTAAGTTATTTTAGAGTGAAACATCGTACATCGAGTTGATAGCCTTACACGTTCACCGAAAAAATAGCAAACATCTTCGATCGCATTCAAGAGCCATAATGGCTCTTGATCAGAGAGGATTAGGCCTCGAAAACAAATTCTTGGAAAACAAATCAGGCCAAATTTTTTTGCGTTCGACAGGTTTACTTTAGAAATTCTTGCCAACAAATCTGGGGGTGTGTAAACCAACCTTTTACACTTTGTATACATCACATCTGAGGTGAAACAGTACTATTTATCATACAGACCTCGGACAGAATGCGCTATTTCACAAGTTTTCAAGACAAAGTGCATGCACTGAGTCAATATTCAGGACGATCAATCGTGCGCTTTTAGCGAAACCGTTTAAAAAATTGCTTTTAGCGAAATCGTTCAAAAAATTTCCAAAATCACCCATAAGGCCAGCCGGTTCTCATTTCTAGTGCGAGCTGTCAGTGTGGTAGAATGTTTGAATGAACTTTAATAGGGTTACGCTTCAACGTAATAACGAATTTATTTATTTATTTTTTTTGTTATTTAATGGTTTCAGTTATAACGATGTGTAATCTTACAAAACGTTTAATACGCGCGACATTTTTGAGTACTCCTGCTTGCGATGTTCATGAACGATGAAAACAAACGGCACGTATAAGCGATCAAAATTGCAAGGGAGACTACTAACAATCAATGAAAGAAATATAATTCGGTGAAACATTTACAGAGACGACAATTTTCATTCACGAAGACAGGTATTAAAGTGTCTCTAAAAATCCTGAGTCTTTAAGCTTAAAGCTTAAGCTTAAGTTAATTATGTTTTACTTTAAGCCGCCTCCCGGTGTTTGCTTTTTTCAAAGATGAACTCCTCGATGCAAGAAAATCCCTCAAAGTTTTCTTTCTACGGCCAAATTTATAATTAAATATTCTTCGAAACGTTTTCTTTCTATTTGCTCTGAGAAAATATATCTGAAGGCCTTTTAAAGTTGTGCAAGCTTATATCAAACCTGATACTGGGTCAGATCATTGACTCAAATCTTACAAACGTGCATAAACTTGCCGCATAAACTGTGCTGGACTTCGTGAAATTAAATATAACAAAAACAAACATCAACAATAATTACTCAGGCTTACCATTCGAGATTCAGTTCCTGAAAGCTATCAAGGAAGGCCACAGTTGCTTGAGACTTTTAAACCCTCTTACGCATTAACTAAGAAGAAAAACGAAAACGATGCCATCCGAGATCGGATTACCGAATTTTGACAAGCGACGCATTTCTCAAACAAAAACCCAATAAACAAACGAGCCATGAATAGCAGAAGACTCTTGATAGCAGCCGTATTTCATTTTGTACATCCAGTGGAAAAAGACAGTTCAAAACATCGCAAGTTGACACAAACCCTGTCAGCTTCAGTTGTCAAAGTAAACAAGTTTCAAGATGCTACATAAATTTTCCGCATGAACCCATCTGTCAAATTTTGACCAATCAGAACATAAAAATTGGACGTAGAGAGTGACCAACGCGTGACAATGGTAAGAATAGGTCTTCCCCGCCTGTATTATTAAAAAACTGGCTGAATTTTCGCGCCCGAGTTCAGTTTGAAATCAAAATCTTAATAGTGCGGGGCTATAGTGACATAAACACAACATATTTCATATGAATCATTGGAAAAAATAAACTTGAGCTTGCAATCATTTGAAACTGGTAATTTGTCAGCGGATAACTTCAAAAAATACTCCACCTAGATGGATCGATACTTGAGCCCGCAGTACGGTCAGGTGATACTGGTCAGCGGATACCCTGTTTTGACAGCTGTCAATTGATCACAACATTGATGTGCAATTAGTTTTCTCTCTTAACTTTTCATTTAGCAATCTTTATGTACAAATATCATAATCAATTATTGCCATCGGTCTTTAATTCTTTTTTCACTAAAATTTCGCAAATTCATACCTATAATACAAGGCTTGGTGCAAAACAGTCTTATTATCTTCCAAAAGCAAGAACAAATTATGGTATATTCAATATCAGATTTCAAGGTCCATCAGTGTGGAATTCCATTGATGAAGATATCAAATTTTCTTCATTGTCTTTGTTTAAAAAGAAAATGAAACAGCACTTTATCAAAGATTACTAGACATCTGTACGTTGTCTGGGTAACTTTAAAATGGAAATAATACTGTTTTGCAATTTATGAATTTTAGTCTCTTTATATACTGGTAGTTTACTTAACTATTTGTGTGTGTTTCTCTGTTTTCTTTGTTCTTGTGTCCCTGACCTAAACATTTAAACATCTTTTCTTTTAACTGGCTGCCTGGCATTTTTAACTCTTAGGTTATTTCGGGCAGCCAGCGCCCCTATCATTGTCTGTACTATTGTTATAAATTTTTATTTCTTGTATATTTGGGGTGAAATAAAGTGTTGTTGTTGTTGTTGTTGGGCTCCCAAACCGGCTAGAGAGTGTGAGAGTAAACACTGGTTTCCCTGTGGTGCGGACGGACAGTCGTTCGTTCGTTCGGTGTACGGTCACGTGATTACTATATTTTCTGGAATGGGTAGATTTCCTTAGCTATGGGGCTCCGCCCACGCGCGGTGCTTCGCACCGCGCATGGAGCTCCGCTAATATACAACGTCTTGGCGTCCGAAGCTAATCTACGTAGGCCATGGTTAGGAAAATAAAGGGAAACGAATGCTGCCGACAAAATTAAGTGAATAAATATCTATGAGAGAATAAGAGTTAAAACAAAGTAAAACAAACTGCGAACTGTAAAGAAGAATTGCTTTATCTTGCTGTTTCATTACAGACAATAACATAGCAGAAAAAGTGGATAAATGTCTGGATAAAAATAGATGAAGATAAACTCAGCTATGAGGAGTATAATTTTTACTCTCGTCGTGAGTACCAATCTTCATAGGAGTTCGGCGTTAGCTTGTAAGATACGGAATGAAGGAACTTATCTTTTCGAAGTGTCCTGAGATTTGTTGGTACTTCATTCCATAGAATTGCACCAATTCTTTAAGACCATTTCTTTTAAAGTTTATGTCTTGGATTTTGGAGGCCGAGGATCGAGTATTTTAGCATTTTTTTTTTTCGCGGTAGGGAAAAGTACCTTCTTAGACTGGAAAAGGACATTACTTTTATCCCACATTGTCTGAGCTAGCAGTTTATTGTCCAAAGAGTCAAAAGGTATAATCTGAAAATGCTAAAAAAATAATGGGATTTCGTAATCACGTCTTTTACCATAATTCATAAAACGAGAATCAAAAGCTAAATAAAAGTGGTTTTTTCGCTTGTCTTCATGCAATTAGCTCATAGCGCAAATAGGAAGTGGTAAGTGAGTTTCCAGTGTTTATTAGTGTCTAGTGCGGAGCAAAATGGCTTAAGTTTGATAAAGACGCTAACGTTTAACTGAATTTTAACGGTAGGTGCACGATGTGATTTTTACATGAAGCTAATGTTTCATAAAGCCACCCAGATATGCAACTTATTCTTTACCTTTTTTTACTTTACTTCAATATATATATTTTTTTCTAATGAGAATAGAGTATTTTAGTATCGCCAGCAAACAGATAACAATTTAACTTATCAAGAGCCATAATTTATGGCTCTTGAACTTATTTCAAATAGAACACATGTCATTGACATAGAGAAAAAGTAACGGTGCCAATATAAAACCGTCAGAAGCCTCACAGATAGCAGTTGTTCTTCCAGAAGGCATTTACTAAACTACTGTCACTTGTGTTCTCCCCCTTAAACGGAATTTAAGCCATTTTTGTTGTTATGTCCCGAAAGCATTAAATACCAACAAAGAAAGGCCTCTATGTGCATATTTCATTGGATTGCCTTAATTATTTCAAGGATCGTGTGTTCCTTTAAATGAGCTTGCCAAAAGCCATATTGATGTGCACTTGAGGTACGCTGCCAAGGTTAATAGACTTATTGAAGGTATTTGCGGCGACATCTCGTATAAAATTGCTTGGTTGGAGTATCAGGGGCACCCAACGAGAATATAGTTTAAAACCACTTAAACATAGCATTGTTAAACGTATTTTAGTATTTAAACGGTAGATATAGGCATATTTTCATCCCCTAAAAATTTTTCATCTGTTCGGATTTCCTAGCTGAAAGTCTAGTGATCCGAAAATTATAGGGATCAAAACTTACCTTTTCGAAAATTTCAGCCAGAAAAAAGGCTCCCGAAAATTCTAGGTGACCTTTTAGGGTAAAAATCCGTTAAAAATAGGCAATTACACCATTTTTTAGATGTTAGAAAATCCTAGGAGAGGCAGGCAAGCAAGAACTTTACAACAAATGTTCCGAAAATTCTAGATCTCAAATCGTCTTCCGAACAGATATTCTTCGGAAAATTGTCGTTGGGTGCCCCGGGAGTATTAAGAAGCCGTGTGATTTATCATTGAAGGTAAAAAAATGATGTCGTGGGTGATTGGTTTTTGTCACGACATTCAGCAGGGAAGTTCCGATTTCTACGTTTTGGCAGCTGTAGTGCCAAATTAAGTCATATACTAGAAAATTCTGATTCATAGATATTTGCAATGTGTGAAATACTACTATTGCTGTTCAGCTGTTTTAAAGTAGTTTAAAATAAATCAACATCAAATAAATCAAAAGACTTTGTGCTCCACCATTGAAAGCTTGACTTTCTTCGCGAAGACAACCCGTTAAGGTGCTCTCCAAATCACCAAGGTTAGTCGCCTGTTTCCAAAGGATAGAGCAGGTTGGATCCTAGAATCCAATAATAATAATGCGCAAAGAGGGATACGCACGAAATGTTGAATAAGTATAGCAGCGGTGCTGCATAAAAGTTTTAACCTTGAATGTGAATGAATATATTCGTGAAGAAGAATTTAATATAGCAACACTGTTGAATAAAAATTTTGACCTTGAATGTGAATAAATATAATGTTGTTGTGTTTTAAGGTAAAAGTACAATTATAGCATGCCCGCGGGTAGCTAAGCTAATCTAGGGCGGTCACGTTTACAGGAAATAAATACAACTAAATGCAACTAAAAGTAACAAGAGAACTAAAGAAACTAAAATTGACAACAATGACTAGAAACTACTTATAAACTAGCGGTATTACTAATCATAAATGACAACGCTTTCACATTGTCTCCCATCGGTCAACGAAGAAAAAAAAAATGATCTAAACTATCCTAGCAACAAATACACATGCGAGAACGCGGAGCGCTCGCTGAAGCAAATGTGAATGAATATATTCGTAACTGAGAAATGTTTCCTTGAATGTGAATTCGTGTACATGTTGAATGACAACGTAGTTGTTGAACGTAAATGAATATATTCGTGAACAAGAATGAAATCATTAAATGTGAATGAATATGGAATTTGTGAATTTTGCACAATTTCGCTAACCGTCCTAATATAATTTTCCTTTTATTATTTCGGCTGTCTGCTTCAACGTTTAGTTATTCCGACAATTTGCACCCCTGCTCTAAACAGCTGTATTAGGATTGCGTTTTAAAGTCAGCAAAAGCGAAGTATTTTAAAATGTTAATCTTCCTCTTCGCCTTTTATTCTTGTAATGTCAATTTCAAACATCATTCTTCAAGTAATTAATTGAAACTGTTTCCCGGCAACGACACAAAATAATTCTTTCATTCGTCCAATTAAAGCTGCTCAATTAATATGTTAATATTTATTTTAGTCAAGATTTTCTTTAGAAAAGGCCACCTGCATTATCAGGGAAGCCAATCAAATCTGGCCCAACCGTACTTTAAACCTCTTAGTAGAATTTCGCTATGGCTTCCAAGTTTTCCACTCGAACGTTAAAAATTCTATCAGATCTTGTCCAGTTTCACTCAGCTTTTATGCTTGCTTGTTGCTGTATTTTTAACCTGGTATTTTCTGTCGTGGCTGTTCTTGGAAATCTTTTAGTTATTCACGCCTTATGGAAATCCTCATCCATACCGGCCACAGTGAAGAAGTTGTTCTTGAGTCTCGCTCTCTCGGATTTTGCGGTTGGAATGTTGCCGCAACTGATGTGGGGCATTATTATCGCAGTGATGTTATCGAAGACATCGAATGGTGACAGTAACTTTGCCTCGTTTTGTCCAGTTATTGTAACTGCCTGCTATTTCTTCACTTTTTCCCTCTGTTCCGCATCTATTTTTACCATTGCAGTTATTGCCGTTGACAGACTTCTCGCTATTTCGTTGCATCTGCGATATCACGAACTGGTTACATCAAAACGTATCAATATGGTGTTGATTATGCTTTGGTTAACAAGTGGTGTCACAGCCTCGATATCCATTTTATTCCCGGTAGCCAACAAGATCATCGCAACTTTTCAAGTCATTTTACTTCTATTAACAACCGTGGCGTATATTCGTATTTATAAAGTTGTGAGATATCATCGCATTCAAATACAGAGTCAACTTCAGCTGCAAAACTTTGAAGTAGAAGATTTACGTCGTCAAAAGAAATCCGCTTGGAATGCTTTGATCGTTTATGTAACATTTCTGTTTTGTTATCTTCCATTTTTTGTCTCTGTATTAATCGTGCTCATTTATGGCGAAAAGATGTCGCCATTGATAGCTAATTATGCCACGTTGCCTGTTATTTTCTTGAATTCATCTTTGAACCCTTTAGTTTACTGTTGGCGTTATCGAGAAATTCGCAATATTGTAAGAAGTAGTTTGAAAAAAGTAATTCACGTGATAACCTGAGATCAGCCTCTATTTTCGTTTCGCTTTGAAAATTACATTCCGGCGGGCGAGGCGAAACGAAAAGAGAGCCTGATACAAACCTTCTACGAAACGTCTGCCGCCCACTTTTTTGATTGATTGACATTTGCCGAATCAGCCAACCAAAATTACTTCCGTTGCTTGTTTTTCTAGAATGCAAATTTTTCACGCGTGGGAAAAATGCAGACTGGCTGACTTAAAAAGTAGCTTTTATCCGTTAATTTTTTCAGCTAAAAATAAAACAGTCAGCACAATCACATTTAACTTCTTGCGTAGCCTGTGAACAGGCTCTCTGTTTGGGGAAAAATAGCGAGGAAAGGGAAGGGAAAGGGGGGGAGAGAGCCTGTAGACAAACATTTGAGGCCGCTATTCCGCCCTCTTGTAATTATCCTGCCGATCATCTGTCAGTAAGATCGTTATCGGTCAATCAATTTCGCGCGTGAGTAACTCCTGGGAAAGTTAACAGGAAATGTGGTGTTTTGCGCCGTCTGAAAACAGAGTGAAATAGGGCATGAACCTCATTGTTGATTTTGCAAAAAGTCGTTGATCTCCGGTAAGAGGATTTAAAACAAGCCGTTCGTCTTGCTAGTTCGGTTTGGTATTTTAACAAGCCGCTGCAATGAGCGAACTTGGAATGCGGAAGGTACAGATACTATCATGACTTCTCCAGAACATGAAGCTTCGAAGACAAGTACAAAGAGATCAGCAGCGCTTCGATCGCCGACAGGAATTACATGGAAGGCCGACACGACTTTTACTTTATGCCAAAATGCTGCTTGTTCCCATAAGTTTTTTCCTTTGCGGGGTAGATTATTCCCTGGAAGGTTCTACATTTTCACTGAGCAAATGTGATTTTAGCCTCTTGTTTCACACTGAGAGGTCATGGCACACATATCGATTTACTGTGGTTTTTGTTTCTGGTCGACAGGATTTGCCCTCTGATGCAAGAGCATTTTCTTTTTTTGCGGCTGAATAAGGGTCTTACTTTTCTCCAAAGTGCCTTCTCGATCTGAATGACTAAGCGATTTTCTTTAGTCCTTGAATGTAATGATTTTCTGCAATGATGTATTCTGACGCTGGGCCCAGCTCGTCAGTGTTTAAAAATTATCACGGATGGTTATTTACAGATCCAAAATTATAAGACTGAAATGCAGCTTAAACCGAAGCCACATCAGCTATGGAGAATTGCATTGTGCTTCGGTAACTACAAACTCCAGCTTAGTGTTTTTGTAAAGACAGTTTGAGTCTTTTGACCGCAGCGCGTAGTTCCTGCCCGTGGTAATAGTCTTTGGACTGTTTTGTTATTGCCACTCTGTGATCAAATCGCGTGCTACGTGCCAACCGAAAAGCCGATGTCAATCAGACCTGTCAACAGTCAGTGTTCTCGCCAATAGGAGCTTGCATCAGGATCTGATGCACAGCGGGTGCCGTGGAACGGCGGCCCCAAAGGTCTGTCCACGGGCCTTTTCGCTTTTCCCTCTCCCCACCCCGCTCGACCTGCCGCTCGACTAAAGGCCTGTTCACAGGCTACTTCTTGCGAGATTAAGGGAGATCTCGAAGATTATTTCTGTTGGCGTAGAAGGTACAAAGTCTTCGAAAAGACGGCGACACGATGTTCTACTAGTTTTATTATTTTGGCTAGGCGCGCTCGAATTTAAAATACTGAAATTTCTATTTTTCTGTTGCTTTTATATTTTCCTCGGTAATTTTCCCCGATTTTCAGTACATAAATCTTTAAAAACAAAAGCAAACAGCCAACGTGCGAGGAACAAAAATTCCTTGAACAGCGATGCGATATTTTTCGTCAAATACTTCACAGTTGGCGATTGAGGTTTCTTTCGCAGTTAGCCTCCGCTTGCGTACCCTGTTCAGAGAAGTCATTCCCGGCTAAACTTTCAGATGAAACCAATTTTAAGATGGACAGTATTTTGATTTGAACTCGTTTTTTGGTAAATCAAAAGGCACCTTGTTAGCGGTCAACAACTTGCAGAGGGACTCAACTGCGCGATACACTCACACTAATTCCGTAAATAAAGCAAATCCTGAGAAGATATGAACAACCATATGAATTTTCTGAATTTCCATGGCACATATTAAGGCATACTTTCCTACCATAAGACCATAAAACAATAAAAAAGACAACAAAATCGATCCTTCTCTCCGCCGATGACGGATCATTCACGAAAACAACCACGCGAGGAATAAGCGCTTTCAACTTCCTTTGTTTCCGACAGCCAATCAGATCTTGTGGCATTGTTCTAACAGCCAATCAGCGTTACGGCCAAAATCTGGCCGTAACGAGCACAAATGTGAGAGAGTTTGTATCAGGCCCAATTTTAGCTGTAGCCGTTAAAGAGAATGTATAAGAACCGCAAAAACTGGGCCTGATCTCAGGTTATTCACGTGAAGGAAGATAGGGCATAGACGACCAGTCGTTTCGCCATTGCATTATTGCCCCATGTAAGGGAATCCCGAGTCCGGAATCCGGGAAAACGTTTGCTAGTGAAATCCGGAATTCAGCAATGTTTTGCTGTGAAATCTGGAATCCTGGGCTGTGGCATCCAGAATACAGGACAAGGGATCGGGAATACCACTAACCATTGCAATCGAGAATCCACGTTTCACTGAGAAAGAATCTGAAATCTGAAATCTGAAATCTGGCATCTGGAATCTGGAATCTGGAATCTGGAATCTGGATTCTGGATTCTGGATTCTGGAATCTGCAATTCTGGAATCGGGAATCTGGAATCTGGAATCTGAAATCTGAAATCTGAAATCTGAAATCTGAAATCTGAAATCTGAAACCTGGAATCTGAAGTCTGAAATCTGGAATCTGAAGTCTGAAATCTGGAATCTGGAATCTGGAGTTTAGAATCTAGAATCTAAAACTGTCTTGGATTCCCTTACATTGGACGAGCCTTAAAATAGTACCGCTACAGAAAACCGAATATTTCTTTGGGTGAAGTACGATTTAGGAGCTTAGTAAGAGATGACAAGAAAAGTCTTTAACAGCTTTGTATAGTTCGTATAATGTATAGATTTAGCCACGGCTAAAAGCGAAGCTCCCATTAATAAATTTATAATTTAAATCAAACAATAAACTTGTAATCCACAAATCAGTTAACTTAAGGGCACATTCATTTGACTTTTGACGGAAAGGCTAAGTTATTTTAGAGTGAAACATCTTACATCGAGTTGATAGCCTTACACGTTCACCGAAAAAATAGCAAACATCTTCGATCACATTCAAGAGCCATAATGGCTCTTGATCACAGTGGATTAGGCCTCGAAAACAAATTCTTGGAAAACAAATTAGGCCAAATTTTTTTGCGTTCGACAGGTTTACTTTAGAAATTCTTGCCAACAAATCTGGGGGTGTGTAAACCAACCTTTTACACTTTGTATACATCACATCTGAGGTGAAACAGTACTATTTATCATACAGACCTCGGACAGAATGCGCTATTTCACAAGTTTTCAAGACAAAGTGCACGTACTTAGTCAATATTCAGGACGATCAATCGAAACGAAACCGTTCAAAAGATTGCTTTTAGCGAAATCGTTCAAAAAATTTCCAAAATCACCCATGCGGCCAGCCGGTTCTCATTTCTAGTGCGAGCTGTCAGTGTGGTCGAATGTTTGAATGAACTTTAATAGGGTTACGCTTCAACGTAATAACGAATTTATTATTATTATTTTTTTTTTATTTTTATTTTTTTGTTATTTAATGGTTTCAGTTATAACGATGTGTAATCTTATAAAGCGTTTAATACGCGCGACATTTTTGAGTACTCCTGCTTGCGATGTTCACGAACGATGAAAACAAACGGCACGTATAAGCGATCAAAATTGCAAGGGAGACTACTAACAATCAATGAAAGAAATATAATTCGGTGAAACATTTACCGAGACAACAATTTTCATTTACGAAGACAAGCATTAAAGTGGCTCTAAAAATCCTGAGTCTTTAAGCTTAAAGCTTAAGCTTAAAATAATTATGTTTTACCTTAAGCCGGCCTCCCGGTGTTTACCTTTTTTAAAGATGAACTCCTCGAAGCAAGAAAATCTCTCAAAGTTTTCTTTCTACAGCCAAATTTATAACTAAATATTCTTCGGAACGTTTTCTTTCTATTTGCGGTGAGAAAATATATCTGAAGGCCTTTTAAAGTTCTGTAAGCTTATATCAAACCTGATACTAGGTCAGATCATTGACTCAAATCTTACAAACGTGCATAAACTTGCCGCATAAACTGTGCTCGACTTCGTGAAATTAAATATAACAAAAACAAACATCAACAATAATTACTCAGGCTTACCATTCGAGATTCAGTTCCTGAAAGCTATCAAGGAAGGCCACAGTTGCTTGAGACTTTTAAACCCTCTTACGCATTAAGCAAGAAGAAAAACGAAAACGATGCCATCCGAGATCGGATTACCGAATTTTGACAAGCGACGCATTTCTCAAACAAAAACCCAATAAACAAACGAGCCATGAATAGCAGAAGACTCTTGATAGCAGCCGTATGTCATTTTGTACATCCAGTGGAAAAAGACAGTTCAAAACATCACAAGTTGACACAAACCCTGTCAGCTTCAGTTGTCAAAGTAAACAAGTTTCAAGATGCTGTATAAATTTTCCGCATGAACCCATCTGTCAAATTTTGACCAATCAGAACATAAAAATTGGACGTAGAGCGTGACCAACGCTTGACGATGGTAAGAATAGGTCTTCCCCACCTGTATTTTTAAAAAACTGGCTGAATTTTCGCGTCCGAGTTCAGTTTGAAATCAAAATCTTAATAGTGCGGGGTTATAGTGACATAAACACAACATATTTCATATGAATCATTGGAAAAAATAAACTTGAGCTTGCGATCATTTGAAACTGGTAATTTGTCAGCGGATAACTTCAAAAAATACTCCACCTCGATGGGTCGATACTTGAGCCCGCAGTACGGTCAGGTGATACTGGTCAGCGGATACCCTGTTTTGACAGCTGTCAATTGATCACAACATTGATGTGCAATTAGTTTTCTCTTGGGCTCCCAAACTGGCTAGAGAGAGTGAGAGTAAACATTGGTTTCCCTGTGGTGCGGACTGACGGTCGTTCGTTCGTTCGGTGTACGGTCACGTGATTACCATATTTTCTGGGATGGGTTGATTTCCTTAACTATGGAGCTCCGCTAATATATAACGTCTTGGCGTCCGAAGCTAATCTACGTAGGCCATAGTTAGGAAAATAAAGGGAAACGAATGCTGCCGACAAAATTAAGTGAATAAATATCTATGAGAGAATAAGAGTTAAAACAAAGTAAAACAAACTGCGAACTGTAAAGAAGAATTGCTTTATCTTGCTGTTTCATTACAGACAATAACATAGCAGAAAAAGTGGATAAATGTCTTGATAAAAATAGATGAAGATAAACTCAGCTATGAGGAGTATAATTTTTACTCTCGTCGTGAGTACCAATCTTCATAGGAGTTCGGCGTTAGCTTGTAAGATACGGAATGAAGGAACTTATCTTTTCGAAGTGTCCTGAGATTTGTTGGTACTTCATTCCATAGAATTGCACCAATTCTTTAAGACCATTTCTTTTAAAGTTTATGTCTTGGATTTTGGAGGCCGAGGATCGAGTATTTTAGCATTTTTTAGACTGGAAAAGGACATTACTTTTATCCCACATTGTCTGAGCTAGCAGTTTATTGTCCAAAGAGTCAAAAGGTATAATCTGAAAATGCTAAAAAAATAATGGGATTTCGTAATCACGTCTTTTACCATAATTCATAAAACGAGAATCAAAAGCTAAATAAAAGTGTTTTTTTCGCTTGTCTTCATGCAATTAGCTCATAGCGCAAATAGGAAGTGGTAAGTGAGTTTCCAGTGTTTATTAGTGTCTAGTGCGGAGCAAAATGGCTTAAGTTTGATAAAGACGCTAACGTTTAACTGAATTTTAACGGTAGGTGCACGATTTGATTTTTACATGAAGCTAATGTTTCATAAAGCCACCCAGATATGCAACTTATTCTTTACCTTTTTTTTACTTTACTTCAATATATATATTTTTTTCTAATGAGAATAGAGTATTTTAGTATCGCCAGCAAACAGATAACAATTTAACTTATCAAGAGCCATAATCTATGGCTCTTGAACTTATTTGAACTAGAACACATGTCAGCCTCTATGTGCATATTAAATTGGATTGCCTTAATTATTTCAAGCATCGTGTGTTCCTTTAAATGAGCTTGCCAAAAGCCATATTGATACAACCTAAGGTGTTTCGATACAGTTTTTCGCAGACCGTACCGATGTTTTTTAATCGCCTTAAAAGAGATTTTATCCCTGTTCGATCGCCACAAAATTTTCACCTGTTTCTAGTAAAATCGATATCACTATGAAAAAAATAAAAATAAAAAATTGAAATCGATGAAATCCGAAGTTCGCGCCATCTAGACCTGCTACTGAAAATCCGACACCGGGAACTTGCGTGTGTGGTGTTTAGCAATTAACCTCCGTGAAAAGTAAAAACTTCTGTATGTTTGAATTCAAATAAAAAGTAAATATATTTCAAACCTTATATTTTCAATAGCCGTGATAAATAGGCCATTTCCACGATGGCGTCATTTTACTACTACGACCATAATCCTTTCCGTTTTTCCTTTCATATTTAAATTTTGCAATCCCAGTGAGGTTTGAATAACAAAAGCCCTAATTTGCACAAGAAAGCAAAACCCTGAAGGATTCTGGTCGTAGTAGTAAAATGATGTCATCGTGCAAATGGCCTATTGTTTAACAAAAAGGTCTAAGTAACTCAAATTAATCTTAAGTAGCGTCAGATGGCTGCTTAATATCATATTTCGATATTTGGAAATTTTGGTGTATTTCCTTTTTGCGATCCTGAAAACTAATCGTTTTCTCACCACCTGTATAAAGGCGATTCATTCTAAATTTTGACTTCAATTCATAGTCAATCACTAGTGAAAATTTTGTGGCGATCAGGCAAGCATAAAATCTCTTTTAAGGCGATTGATAAACATCGAGTGTGGTCTCCGAGAAACTGTATCGAAACACCTTAATATACGCGGCCAAGGTCAATAGACTTATGGAAGGTATTTGCGGCGACATCGCTTATAAAATTGCTTGGTTGGAGTATTAAAAAGCCGTGTAATTTATTATTGAAGTACTTGAAGGTAAAAAAAAATGATGCCGCGGATGATTGGTTTTTGTCACGATATTCAAGGAAGTGAATTTCCGGGTTTTGGCAGCTGTAGTTCCAATACTAGAAAAGTTCCGATTCATAGATATTTGCAGTGTGTGAAACTCTAGTTTTGCTGTTTGGCTGTTTTAAAGTATAAGTAGCCACTAGCGTTTCGGGAATATTATTATCCGATTATTACCGTCAACTTGAGTCCCTGATATTCCAAATTGCTGTCGTATTCAGTGATCAAAGCCGAAGATGAAGGTACTTCGCCTTTGTTTCTTCTGTCGTGACCGGCCTGCAAATTTGACGCACGTAGTTAGTCTGTAGATAGATCCTTAAATTGGACTCCGCCAAAAAAAAATCTTATCCGCTAATAGCCCCCTTCTTGTTAAAATAATTAATAGCATGCAATTAATTCATTTTTTCACTCACAGTCTTGTCGTTAATGAAAGCGACTAAGTAGACATAAGTATCCTCTCCTTACGAAATAGGGAGGTCGGAACAGTGAACACTAATATAAAAAATATAAAACCAATATTTCAATGAGAGATTAAAACTTTGAGAAAATTCACGGCTTTTTCTAAATTGACAGAAGAGCTCAGCAATCTCAGCAACATAGCAGCTACTGTCCTTGCCATTTTTGGCCCCAGGGCTCTTCTCCTTTGTGCATGATTATGGACGAGAAGGGCGCGAGCTGTGGGGTCGAGAATGTTGCACTCGCGCGTTATCTTAAATTCAGCCAGAGCCTTCTATCCAAGGGATCTCAGCTGCTGAGCGGAGAATCTGCTAAACTTCTTCAATGCGTAAAGTGCCCACAGAAGGTAGTGGTATTTTCCCCTGTCTTTCTCGATGAAGAGAAGGTTGCAGTTGTTGGATGTACATTGCCTTCGTTGTGACTATCATAAACCAGATTGGCGCAGTTCTTTAGATCCCTCCATGGTGGCCAGTAAACTGATTTCATAAATACCGCGTGTTCGTTTGTGCAACACGACAGATTTTTATAAACTAACCCATGTATAAATAGGAATGAAGATTAGCAAACAATAGACCTGTTCGGCTATTTAAATGTACCCAATTCAAACCCTTTGAGGATAAAACGTTTTGTTTCAGGAATTTCCATATCATTTAAATGTGAATGCAACATTATAATGGAAATACAATACACAAAGAATCTTAACCCCGGGAGATTTAAATTGGGTACAACATTCAGTTAGCCGAATAGATCTATACTGCACCCCTGGCCTCAGTTGTGCAAATGATTGATAATGATTTTTACTGGGTATATTTTATTCAGTAGATAACGCAACTTCTCTCTTCAACTCTCATCCACTAAATAGTGATTTCACGTTTCTAGATGCGACTACGAGAACGTTGACTCTGAAGCCGCCAACAAAGTGATAGAAGTCCTGCGGAAAGCAGTTGAGGATAGCTCTCTAGTCAATAAGACATTGACAGGCGGAAGTGGCAAAGAACAGAAGTCATATCAAGTCAAGTCAACAGATGATTTCTCTTACACAGATCCCATTGATGGAAGTCTGACAAGCAAACAGGTAGTGTTGCAGAGGTTATTTCTTAGCCAATCAGAAGCGGAGAATTCAAATGCTTCTTTAACCTGTTCGGAAAAAGAAAGGCTGTGTCATCAATGTACCGGATGGTTTATCATGTGGACATGAAAAATACCAAATGTAAAAAAATCATCACAGTTACATACGCAGCTTATTCACTTGCGAAAAGAAGGCCTGAAAATATTCAGGCTTACCGGAATACGAAGCCTGACCTCAACGATACCGGTGCAACGCTCTTACCAATTAAGCTAACAAACCAAATGGGAGCCGGTTGTTAAATTGGTTCGTAAAGACACGACATGCCCGGGTTCGACTCTGGGTGGTGACTATCTTTCTTTTCTAAAAGAAAAGAATTAAGAGCTGATCGATGCTTATATTGGCCTGGAAAATACTCCTGCCGAGTATGAGCAGGTGTTCATACTCTTACATACGGAAACCTATCCGGTATGTGACGATCCACTTTCAAGATCGGCGAAGCGCAGCCTCCCTACGTCTCAGAAACCGCGCCAAAATCACCGATCTTATTATGTATTAAGCGAAGTCCCATCCCATTATCCCATACGGTTTTAGTGCCGGCGGAGTGTATTTCCCTTCCTTTAACGGTCGTTGCCATTTTTAACCGTCGATGCCACCACTGGTAACCAAGCCTTTGGTCATGATGGATGTAACATATTCCCTGGATGAAGTTACAATAAGGCAAATAATAGGTTTTTTAATAATCTTAGAAAGAACAACCTCTGAAGCCCAAGTTGAATGTACGTCAAAAAGTGTGGAAAGGGCCAGGGTCACCTGTTATTTATGAGATTAGGATACGAAAGGTCTGGGTTCGGGGCCCTGGTTCGAGCCTGGGTTGCGATTTTCTTTCTTTTTAATAGAAACGCTTTCAGTAATAGGTCAAGTGTCTTAAAAATGACAGCGACCGTTTACGAAAGGGACACTCTGCGCCGGCGCAAGAGCTAGTTGGTATAGTGTTGATATAGCTAAGTTGTTAGGTGTTCTCGCGAATGTCCGTTGTTCGTTGATTAGAGAAGTTTCGAGGAAGGTTTCGACAATATTTTTTGTAAATTTATTTTTGTTGCTTTAGGGAATCCGCGTAATCTTCACTGACGGATCGCGCCTGATTTTTCGGCTGAGTGGCACGGGGAGCACCAATGCAACAATCCGAGTTTACGTTGAAAGCTATGAACCAGATGAATCAAAACATATGCAGGAGGCTAAGGTATGTAGTGGTTTGAATGTTGTTGTTGTCACTATCAAGATTTAACCTGATGAGATGAAAAGTTCGAAAATTCATTTATTGTTAGTATTACAGTCGAACATCCATGTGAGACCCCCTCTCGTAAGTGACCAACTCTCATAAGCGACTGCCTACCCAAAACACCAAAACTTCCTCAGTCAAAGACTTACAGTTGGAATCTCTAGTAAACGACCATACCACCTGTAGGCTACCGCGACCACTTTTTTGGCCTAAAAGTTTGATGATTTTTCATTGCTTTTAACCTCTTGTAGGCGACCACTTGACACCTTCTGTGATCCTTATGTTCGCTGCGTGCACTATACCACTTAGAATATACGAAGAACTTTAGTGACAACATGGAAATACTCAATGTGTAACTTAGAAATTGCATGCAATAAATTATCTGCCATAAAGTAGATGTGCCCGGACCTCTTCTCGGAAGAGGCCCCCCGATTCTCGTAAATGACCACCTCCCGTAAGCGACCACTAAGTCTTTGCATTTTGGGTGGTCGCTTGAAGGAGTTTCGACTGTAGTATTATCATAAGTACTGGCACTATTATTCCAATTCAAGCACTACTCTTTGAATGGATCCATCTTTTACTCCTAACGACTTCATCTAATGCTCCGTGTACTTACAGCGTTACCAACAATATCACAGGAAAGTATTCTCACTAGTTCTATGTCATATTTTAGATTTCATTCACAGAATCAAAAGTTAGAACCAGATTTCATTTACAGACTCAAAAGTTAGAACTACCCTTTTGCAGCAAAGCAAACGGTATCATAGAAGGACTCTGCTTAGGGGAGATTACATAAGACCGAGACGAACTCGAACTTTTCATGCATTTACATGTGACCGGCCTAAAAATGAACTCAGACCGGCCTGGCTTCGTGTCGGTCGCTGACCCGACACGAGTTACTTTCGTACAGGTCCGAGACTGTACCGTTCTCATGTAAAACGAAGCGAATCTCAGACCGGGTCCATAAATAGCATGTTTCTTCGTATGGCTCCATCATTTTTGCTTTTTCTCAGCAAAACGCTGCTATGAATAACTGTAAACAAGACTTGGAATATGCTTCGGTTAATGTGAGGGATTGCACCATTTTGGGATGCAGTGCTTTTAACATGCCACAATATGAGCATTAGATAAAGTTTACAATTTTCTGGGACCAGTAAAATCTCAGTTCTCTACTCACTGTCTTAATTGGCGTAACTTGTGTACCAGTTAGGACAGGTAGCGAATAATATGTTAAATAATCGACTTAAGGAAGTTATATAGCTCCAAGAATCTCCTGTTTTTGAGTTTGTATCGGTCTCTCATGTAATCAACGTATCGTTTTGTCCCGGTCTCATGTAAACGACTACATGCAAAAATTACAAATTTGTATCGGCCTGAGTTCGCCTCGGTCTCATGTAATTACCCCCTTGTCTACAAGCCATGTTGTCCCGGTTTTAAACAAAAGGCTGCAAGGGAGTCTAACTGAAACCTGTTTAAAGCAAGCAATGGACCTTAAAAGTGGATTATTTTATTTAGAAAATTGTCTTTGTAATTTGTACTATGCATATTGCTCTCCCCTGTTTATTAAGATTGGGCAAATTGGAAATGGTTTAGAACGCGGTTTCTGTTAAACAGTGGCTAAACTCTGTCCGTCCAATTTTGTAATGCGGGCTGCCCAGAATACACACCGTGCAATAATCTCAGTACCCTCTCCCCTCCCACACTACCCCCAGACTAACAAGTGAAGCGCTTATTGATTTTATCGTTAACTGCCGTTAGCTTTTTCGTATGTTCTTATGCTGTTCTTCAGTATCAGTTCTGGCAAAAAAAGACTGGCAACGACAAAACAAAGGAAAGGAAAACAGTTTGTGTGGTATTCGCACATAAGCGTAGCATGGCCGCTAAGTCGGGTAACCGCGATGTGTGTCTTTGCAACGTTTCTTATAGTCCTTGTGAAGTATCTTTTATTTGTTTTATTTATTTTTTGTTGCTTTCTTTATTTTCTGCAGAATGTATTAAAACCTCTGCTCGACATAGCACTAGACATCTCACAGCTGCAAAAGTTAACAGGACGCGACGCGCCGACAGTCATCACATAACACATGCTCTTCTTCCCAATATGAAAAATGGATCAAACAGAAGTACATGATTTTTTTATTATTATTATTATTTTTTTTATCTTAATGTAATGTTTCAATTGTAAGGTGCACCCACGGGGTGCCGGGATAAATTAATGTTTCAGGTTTTTGTTTTTGTTTTTGTTTTTTTACGGAGATATTTTCTTTATTTATATATACCTATTTGCTAACTTAGGCCCTGTTTACATGGATATGGACAAAACCTGTCCCGGCCTAGTCATCTTTAGCGAGCGTTGATATGAGAAAATTTGACCCTTTGCACGAGCCAACAGCTGACAAAAGTGCTCTCAAATGCTTTGATCACGCTTACTTGACCGAAATGACCCGGCTGGGAACCCAAAGTGTGGTTAGAGTAGAGGAAATATCTAAAAAAGAAGTACGAAACAATACATTTAAACTTCTGAAGGGTTCACCGTCGGGAAAGATGACAGACTGCTTACTGCTTTATATAGTGCTTCGTGTTTTGACCTGGTCCACACGAATGCGATATTTTGAACCTGGGTATTGTTTTTTTTTTTTTTTTTTTTTTTTTTCTCTTTTTTTTTGTTTTGTTTTTTTTTGTTTTTTTTTACCCAGATTCGTGCGGACGGAGCTTTTAAGAGTTGTCTGGAGAGCGGTTTCAAAACGATGCGGTTTCGGTGAGTTGAATCAAGTTCAATTTCAATTTCGTCCGGTAAAAAAAAACATTTGCGTCTCCAAAAATATCCGGATTGGTGTGAACCGGGCCTAAGGCACACGGTAGAGACGGTAGACTGCCAGCAGTCCCTCGGGATTATCGCGCGTGTGTGCATGTTAAATGCGAGAGAACAAGGCAAACGCGCGAGGGAGAAGACTGAAAGGGAAGATGGGTCCCTTTATTTCTTTTGTCTCTGTACCAGTTCTCTTCTAGATTGGTTGCTGTTTCGAGTCCTGCTTAGCCTCAACCCTACAGACACAACGTGCACTGCTTGCAGTCTAGGCACTCGGTTGCCCTAAAAAGACCCTTTAGCCAAATACAGTCAAACCTCCTCTAACGGCCACCTCTCTACAACGGCCACATTTTCGGCGGGCAGTCCATACATTGCCTTTTTCTTTAAACCTCTCTTCAACGTCCACTTTCTTCTGTCGCCAAGGTGACTGTTGTGGAGAGGTTCAACTGACGTCACAATAAAATCCTCCTGGCCCCAGTTGTTCAAAACCTAGATAGCGCTATCCATCGGATAAAATACTGTCCAGTGGATAAGTATTAGGGAAACCAATTACACTATCCACTGGATAGTGACTTATTCGGTGGATAGCGCTATCCACCTTTTGAACAACTGGGGCCTGTTGGTCATACTGGACATATTTGTAGAAGATAATGTAAGTTCTTTCTATTTAAGGTTTAGCTCCAAGTAACGCCATAACGATTAAAAAAATAATTTTAAAAAATTTCTTGTGATTATCTCTTTGATATTTGGAGAGAAGGGCCCAATCTAGATAGGATTAACACGTTAAAATTAAAATTAAAAATAATCATCAGAGTTGTCAAAAATTGACGTCGATTACAATTTACGAAAAAGAAACAAACAAAAATAAGAAATTGTGGTTGGAATGTAAATTGTTACTGTATTTCAGTTTTCCAGTGGGGTGGGGGGGGGGTATTTTTCCATAATGAATAAAGCGATGATGACAGGTACGTTGTGTGTGGCTAATGTGCGTCCCACTTGTCGTCAAACTCCGGACTCTGGCTCCAGCTTCGTGATACAAAAACAATTAAAAAGCAGCGCGGATATTTTTCTTTAATTCACAGTGTGTTCCGTTAGTTAATCCTCAAATTCAGATCAAATTCCTCATCTTAGCTTACGATGAAACGCTGGGTATTTCCGGACCAAACAAGCTACGTTTCGTAATACAAAAACGAGTAAAAAGTAGAGCGGGAAAAAAGCCAACGACGTTTCATTGTCATTGTACGTAGCCATTTTTCAATTTTGAAGGGTCTGGTCGAGCAAATGTCAGAAATAGTGAGATATCCAATATAAGTTCAATATATCAAATATCCAAAGTCACGCAAGTCTATTCGAGCAAAACTATTCCGACTGGGCATTAAGAGAAGATGTAATTACCGTAAAGAGAAACTAGTGCGGTGGTTTCCTGCTGTGCAAGCACCAAATGAAGTATTACCCACGTCAAAAAACAAAAGCGAGCCAACTATAGTATCTGCGTAAGTATAGTAACACCCATTAGAGTAAATACTTCCTCAACCTCCGGCACAGACAGTAGACATAGGCGATTCTGAGTGACAAGTTCCGCCGCATTAAAGGCTATGATTTACACATATCATCCTCCTCTCTACTATAATATACATTTAAAGATAACTTTGATTAGGTACTTCTGTAGATAGTAACTATATAACATCGGCCCAAGGGAGGTTTTGTGTCCAGCGGTTTTAGTGAAAACAAAGGTTTGTGGCGGCTTCTCAGTCTCGCGGGCTCACAAAACCTCCTTTAGGTTGATCTTATTTCCTATTTGCCTTCAGAAAATGACTAAACGGGGTGCTGTAGAGGTGAGGGGGGGGATTATTCGATCATTTTTACGCAGTCAATCCTTATGGTACTCTAAGGGGCAAAGTACGTACAGCTAACGTAAAGCTAACATAGAGAGATCAGACATGCGTCAAGTGGTCGCTTTCAAGAGATTCTATGGAAAATATTTAAAAGCTTTGCCCAAAAAGTGTTCGTGGTCGCTTACGAGAGGTGTTTCTTTATGATAGGTTTTATTTATGGAGCTTTGACTGGAAACTTCTGTGGTCTCCTATGGGAGGTGGCCGCTTACAAGAAGTATTTCCTCAAACAGCCCAAGTTCACGAGTGTTAATTGTTGCTACGTGACAATGTTCTCGGAAAAATTAATTTTCCGGGGTTGCCACGAAACAATGAATAATGCGTTTTTGTTTTGGTATCTAAAATGTTCGAAAAAATTTAGCATAATCAAAAAAAGCCTAGTAAATTGTTGCTTGACAATGAGTTTTTCAATATCTTAGTTTCGCATTTGGGTGTCAAAAAAAGAAATAAAAATTCAGAGTTTAGTTATTTTGTGTTTTGTGTTTAGTGAGGCCGTTCTTAATGCGACTTAAACTCGCTGGAATCGCTCTGAAACGGAAGCGGAACTTCTAACTCATGATCGCTCGCGTATAAAACCACAGTCGTCTCCCTGCTGTGGTGTCTGTGGTCATGACAGCTCGACTATCATTGAAAAATATTGGTGATAAAAAAAATACTATTCACTGGCATACAAGGTCAGTCTTGCAGACGTAAAGAACGTCAAGATTTAAAAGTGAGTTCGAAGGAATTTTTTAGGTAAGTCATTTGAAGCTTAACAAGTTCGGCCGCGCGTGTAGTATTAAAGAATCAGTTCTCGTCTAAATGACTCTATACTCTTTGAACGAATTGATGTTTTTAAAACAGTTATCCACAATCACATCAAACGATAGGACAATGATTTGGATTTTACCGATATTATGAACAAAAGTTCCATCTTTTTCAGTGTTTTACCGTGCTCCGTGCTTAGCAGTTCTGATTTGATCGTTGACTGAGATGGAATATGTAAATAAGTAAGTCTTCGTCATTTTTTGAGATATATTGAGTGAAATACCTGACTCGTTAATGCCCGTTGGCTGCAGATAACATTCAAAGTGCGTCGAGAGTAACCTTCTGGTGATGGAAGTATACATTGATTAACTGATTGAGCGCATTCGTTAGATTGCTTTTACGAACGAAGTCGGTTCAAGCTAGGAGACTTTTGGAAGTGACATGAAGCGAAGATAGAGGGTCAAGAATGCAAATTTGTGCAATTCAGCCAGCGTGGCGTTTCGATACTGTAAAGGTAAAGGAAAAATAGAGCGAGTGGTTTTCGCGAGATAAGCAAAATTGCCGGTACCTTTTCATATCGAGTGCCACAAGAAACAAAACTGATACCAAACCAAAAACAAATCGGACACAAAACCCTTAGCCACAAGGTGAATTACAATTGCAACAGGGTGGACGAGGTAAAGTTGTATTCTTAAAAATACTAATAATAAGTAAATAAATGCAAGAAATGTCTAGCTTTTTTGAGTGTAGAAATAATCTCGTTTGAATGGAATTACAACGAGAGCAACGATCGAAACGTCTCAAGTAGTGACGAGCGATGAAAGACAACTTTATTCGCAGACTACACAACAGTTTCTGATTTTATGAACATACATGCAGTTGCAGTGTCCGAATTAAAAAGTATGAAATTAATATAGATGATAGAGAAGGAAATTAAAATAACAATAAGTAAAACACTTAATGGATTTTTAATTTCAGAGTAATTTCCACGAATTTGGCGGCCATTAATTTTATACGTATTCTTATTGGTTGCCACGCAAGTTAAACAGAGATGTCTTGCCGAATTAACTTTTATGCCTTAAGCTTAAATAATTCAAAACATGGAAACTCCAGTTGTTGTAACTCAATCATGTAAAGCAAAAGAAAAAAAAGAATTTTGGTATAAAATTATTAGAATTGATGCCGTGACAAAATTGTTTTAAAAATGGACGGCATAGGTCACGTGACATTCTGAAGCAACGAGCCTGTGTTTACTTCCAAAAACCTTCTTTTTATTCCTCGTCTTCTTCTTCCAATAACTTTCGTAAATTGATATCAATTTTGCAGTTATGGTTGTGCGATTGAGTAAACTCCTGTCCTTTGATGATTTATATGTCTGATTTTAATATTGGTTGATTTTTCAACCCGTACAAGTCTTAAAGCCATAACAATTAAACAGCTGCAATAACAAAGCAAATTTCGACAAATAATTGAAAAAAAGAACGGGAAGTTCGCAATCAATTGATATCATTATTTTTAATGTTCTTATGTATTTAAAAATACAAAAAAAAGGACACCTGGTGCGATCATTTTAAAGCAACTGATAATTGTTAATTTGTATGACCTCTTGTCAAATTGTTGTCACTCTTAAACAGACAAGAAATCAAATAAATCTGCCGTCTTTGACGGGAAATTATTGAAATAGAGAAAGCTTGCAATTGTTTGTTAGATAAATATTTCTTAAATACATTTCGATGGTTCAATATTTGTTTAAAACCCTTTCTGCTCTTGACGATGACATTTCACAGCCACCCGACGGAAAAGAAGGAAGACGATAACCGATCATAAAAGAGACAACGCGTCCATTTAAAAGCAACTGATCTTCACATCGTGGGCGAAAGCATAAAAGATTACCGAGGAACTATCATCATGGAATGCGGGTACCAGTTACTTTTGCTTCTTTTTGTGACGAAAATCTATTTTTCTATTGTTATTGTCATAACAATTGCTTTTTCATTCCCTTGTTACGTGAGTCATCGGTATGAGAGCTCGGTTCCCATCTTTAACCCTGACCGTGCTCTAAAAATTTAACGTATGATTGGCACAGTTCTTTAATTCCGGCGGTAACGCAGGAACCGATCGCCGTTGACAAAAAAAAAATGAAGAATTAGTTATACATTCAATTTATCGAATACCTTCGTTTTTCTCTGTTGTTGCTTTCTAAACAGTTTCTTTGCATTTCAAGAAACACTCTACTTCGTGGAAACACGCTTTCTCACACTCACAGGCACCAGGCTACTTTGCTTCATTCTGCAATATTATACAGCAAAATTGAGAGACTGCTGAAAGTCTACCAAAATCTGTCTAGCAGGCAGGAGCCGAGGGGATACAAGCAAACAGGAGGAGGAGCCCGGCGGGTGGTACTAGGAACAACTTGGTCGAATGAAACAACAACTAGTTTAATCGAAAGAAAATTAAAGTTTTGGTCCTGGCCTACTGATTATACTAGTTAGACCAAACCGAAATAGTCCTCCGTTCCATTTGACTTTCAACCGAATGAAAGTGCCTTAGGAGACCCGTGCTTGTATTTCCTTTGAAAATTAATTTTTTTTTTGGTTAATATATCTCCTTCCAAAGAAATGTTTAATAGTTTTGATACAATTTGTGATAGTTTGATTTATTATAAATTCGGCATACAGTAGAGCACCGTGAAAGTAAGCCTTATGAACTCTAAGGAATACAAATTATTAAAGAAAACACCGGAAACTTGCAGTCTCTTGTCTTGTCTCTTTTTGAGGTACGTCCAAGTTTGCACGCAGTTGCAAAATTTGCGAAAAATTGGAGAAATGGCAAAAATTTGCTGTGTATTTTTTCCCGTTTTTAGAAAGAAATAAACTAAGACAATAATAAAACAATCGACAGCCATTTCCCGTTTTAGCCAAAATACAGAAGCCAATGTGGAATCTATATTATCTTTGTCGTTAACATAGAGACAAGGCGATCAAGGTTTTACGAAGTAATATATCAAACATGAGATGCAGTGTTTCATCACCAGATGAAACACCGAGAAGAGAGTTGAAAATACGACGCGCAGGGGAGTATTTTTGACGAACTTCGAGGTGTTTCATCTGGTGATGAAACACTGTGTCGAATGTTTGATATTTCTTCTCAAACAAAATCATTTTTGAAGGAGAAATTAAGGATGCAAATACTAAGCAGTGTTTCATCCGATTTCCAAACACTCATTAAACATTAATTTCCTTTGTATTTTCTTAATGAATTATTAATGAGTTTGAGAATTCTTATTGACACATGTGTACTATTGTCGCGAGACTTCAAGAGAGTGCCACTCTAGCAACAAATTAGTACGATTCGAATCTTCTTCAGGGAAACCTGAAAAAATATCAAACGATGAACATTCGGAATAAAAGTGTGTATGTCACAGCCGATATTTCAATGTTATCTCTAGAAGGGAACTCAGTTTCATCAGAGCGTTATTGTAGCAATTCTGCACTACTCAGCAAAATCTAGTTTTAGCTCTTTTGTGTCTTTCAAAACTCCGCGGCTGAAATATGTGTATTATTCAAATGCAAAATAGCAGGTAGTGACATGTGTACAAATAATGGAACTTCAATAGAACACGTGCTCTTCTGTACGTGTCTCTTTGTTAGACAAGAACTATTTTACATTTCAAAGGAACAACTGTTGTGCTCTATTCATTCAGCTTGATTTACAACATGTGTTTTTCTAAAAGTCCAGGAACCGAAATAGGAAGTATTGTATTTTCACCATAAAGGAAAAGTCTTTTAACCAATCGAATTGTAATGCGTTGATCAGCTAGCACGTGTATTTTTGAATAGTTTGTGATAATCGAACACCTGCATGTGTTTACTGTAGACTGTATAAAAGTAGCGCTTAAACTGTTGTCAATTACCTAGCCTGCGATTTCCTGCGATGATTACCTACGATTACATGTGAAGTGCTATCTACGAGGTTTACTCTACCATAAAGAAGTTGCAGCATTACAGAAAAGTCTCAGTTCTTGTCCAATCTTCGTACCTTGGGACGTGGAAACTAGACGCTGTAGCTCTGGCAGTAGTAATGAGTGCCAGCAGCGAGCCAGTCCCTCTACCGAATTACAGTTTCCCCAATCAATAACTTCCATCATTATATGGCTGAGTCTGTTTTCGCCATGCGATTGGTCAATTTGCGGTCCGTAACTTGCTATACGAGCCAAAATTTTTAAAGAAAATGCTCATTTCGGAGATCTAAATCTCTTTAGCTCGGAAAAAAGGTGTAAATAAAGTTATATTATAAGACGCCTGTCAACCTTGAGGACTTGGATGTTGACTTTGGCCTTCATCATTTTAAACGGTGTTTATTTGTAAACGAAGGCGATGAAGAAACTAACTCGTAATCTTATCGAAGAGGATTCTAGTCAGTGTTTGACAATTTTATCGCAGTACACAGCTAAGAAGACGAAAATCGACTGGCAGAGATTCGAGATGTTTTGCCTAAGAGAAAAAGTGAGTAATTCCTTCGACAAATATGATAACAAACATACCTGCACCCGATCATCTTGACAAGTTTCTTAGCCATTTGCCGTGTTTTTTCAAAGACCAACGAAAGAAAGATAGAAGCGAGTTCGAGCCAGACACAATATCCAGTTTTCAACAGACTCCAGCGTCACACTAACGAGAGAATACTTACAGCGCTCTTAGTTTTGACCGATATTTGACGACATCAAATTGTAAAGTCCAAATAGCGAGGTTTTACGAATTCTTATTTACACTAGGTTGAAGATAAACAGCAAAAAAATCTTTGTACAAATTTTCAGTCCCGTAACATGTTTCATTTCGAAAATACAGCAATTTGAACTTCCAAGTTTTTACAGTGCATGACACCAAAATAGGAACGTTGTCTCGTTGAAAAAAGTCTCTCCTCTTGATTTTCAGCAGTGTAGCCATTTCAAGTCTTAGAAGATATGTTTATATGCTTGTATGCTAGTTCTCGAGTAAAAAGAAAGAGTTTTTATAGAAAAAGTGCACTCTAGGTGTTTTTGTTGATTTCCGGCGGCCATATTGGTGCACCAAAACGGTACACCAATATGGCGTCTCCACACAAACCTCTACAAAGGTGCGTGAAACGTTTCGGTAAATAACTCAGAAACTGTGGGCCACAAAGAACTGAGACTTGGACAAATTGTTCATATATTAGGCTTTTATAACATTTCATTTTGTTGGTTTCTTTCAATGGACGGTTTCCAATTTATTTTTTTGTTGCTAAACGATGAAAACGTATACTTACCTGCGTCCGACGGTGCGCTCATTTACCCCTCACCCCCCCTCCCCACTTCCACCCATATCAGTGCTCCGTTTAACGGTTATCTAAAACTATAACTACTTTTCAAGCTAAACAGAAGGGGAAAAAGTAGGCAAAACAAGGATTTGAGGTCACACACTGGGAGTCGAACTCGGAACCTCTCCTCTAGCTTGCACAGAATTAAAAGGCCGCGCGCTTACCAACACTTTGCCAATCCTTGCTTCATGGATTCCTTTTTTTGTAACACAGCTTATTGAAATCCACTGATCTGCATAAATGTAGTTTGATTTCTTACCGATAGATTTTATTGGAGTGACGAACAAACGCAATATTTTTTTCTTCTACACTGAAATGGTCGAAAACACCGCACCGGGTTCCAAACACATTGCCTCTCCACCTTTTTATTAATTATGAATTATCTCAACGGGTAACGAACTCCAGCCGAAAATATTTAAAAACATCAATTATTCAATAATGTCTCCATTACTCACTCCCTCACTCCCGTCCTTTCGTGGCTGAGACACTTATAATCCTTCACAGAGGTTGATCATTTATTTCTATACTGAACATATACTATAGTATCGTTGTAGGTTAGTGGCGAGGTCTTCAGATGGCCCCAGCTAGGTGGCCGGCCACTGTGTAAGTCTGTCTAACGCATTTTCTATCTCACTCGTTATTATTCTTGTTAGCCTTCTTGTTATGTTCATTTTTTCTAGGATTCCGACTTGAACCTTTGATCGCGCGCAAAACCAAATAGGTTTTCAGTTTTTAGCATTATTCGGATAAAAACAGTTCTTTTTTGATATAATTCTAGATATTGACGGTTTCGAACTGGTCTAATTGTCATCCATTCACGGTGTTTCGATTTAGAATGAGCATTAGCGCTGGCGTTTTTAGGTAACTCTTGCATTGTTAATGACATGTCTTTTGGCCTTCGCAGAGCATTGATGTAAGACAGCGAGAGTTTTACGTGCACTGTACTTTCAAGCAAGAAGGAATAAAATGACAAAACAGAAAAAGGGGAGAGAGACCCCTTCAATAACGATAGAACTGATAGTGGATTAAATTCAACAAACACTCCACAACGCTTTACGGTAACAAGTCATAAAAGAAAACCTTCAAAAATGCCTCAATTTATGGCGAACTGCAGCATAGCAAATGAATCAGATTTCAACTCAACAGACGAAAGGGCGATGACATTTGATGAGGCCTTTATACTCTCTCTTCAGGTCTTTATCGCACTGTTTGGAGTTATTGGTAACATTCTAGTGATCACGGTCATAACCAAGATGGGAAAGAAGAAACAAGGAGATTTATATCTACTAAATTTAGCCATTGCAGATCTCGGCACGCTGCTACTAACATTTCCATCCATGGTAGTTAGGGAGAAGTTACCTTGGAAATGGCCATTTGGTGAGTTTATTTGCTTGTATGTGCATCCTGTCCCGGAAATATTCTATGGAGCCTCTGTATGGTGCATAGCTGTGGTCGCTATAGATCGATACCGGAAAATAGTCACATCGAAAACGTCAAGTCGAATGAGCAGTGCCTTCTCATTACGAACAGCTAAGATTGTTGCAGCTTGTTTGTGGATGGCATCATTTTTGGTCTTCTGTCTTCCGCTTTACTTTGTCATAAAATATCACGAAGAGCCAGGTGGAAAGTTAGCCTGGTGCAACCCAATGATGTCTTTCACTTTTAGCGGCGTCTACATGGGCGTTTTGACCTTTTTTTCTTACATTTTACCCTTGACCGTAATAACCTTCACCTACATCGTTATATCACGGGTAATAAATCGGAGCAGTGCCTTCATCAAACTAATGAAGAACGAAGGTTACGCAGATGATGAACAACGTCTCTCCAAAATTAAGAGCGTTCGCCTCAGACAAAACGAACGCGCCAAGAAAATTCTTACGCCACTCGTTTTGACTTTCGCCGTCACAATGCTTCCCTTGAATATTTTTCGTCTCGTCTTGGCGTGGAAGCCAGCACTGGTCGAACAACATGTTAAATTGATATTGAACGTGGTGACAGTTTTTGTTTTGATTAATTCATCGGTAAATCCCGTGATTTATTCTGTTGTGAGCAAAGAATTTCGGAAGTTGCTGGCTAATCTATGTCTCAGAGGACGTGAAAGAACGTTTTCTCTTCCTTTGCCTCTAATTCAATCATCACACCGACGCAAATCAGCGGTTTAGTAAGGGTACCTACAGGAACCTGAACGCATGCGGAGTTCATTTTGTATAGCAGTTTAATTTCGGTAGCATTTTTTTTTTCTAGAGGCACTTTAATTGACTGAGAAGTGTCCTTAAAGACCATTAGCTTAATTCTCGCAGACCCAGCTCACCCCCAGCTTCGTCGTCCCTGATGCAAACTATGACGCTTTCTGAACTGAACATGAAAAAGGACGCAACTATTCAGTGAGCCCTTTTTTTTGTTGTTTTTCTTGTTTTTTTTTTCAGCAGGATGGATAGTAAAATTATACTGGACCTTATTCTATTTAGCATGATAAAAATCTAAGGCTAAAAGTTTGCGAGGCAGCTAACAGGCGAATTTTTGTTTACATTTTTTCCCTCTTTAAAACATACGCCACTTATTTTGTAAAAGAGTTACAAATCAGTGTACAAAGTTGGTATAAGCTAACAAACTACATGGTATGATACGCTAACAATTTTGGCACAAAGTAGTTTTTCTCTTTTTTTTTCAGTTTTTTGATGATTGATATTTCATTTAAGTAATACTTATAGGTTAGGTGAGGTTACGCCTTTATTTTTAGAGGGTAAACACGTGACGGTTATGATAACAGTGATAAACTTGTGGCCCCTTCTAAAACAAATAAAATAAAATATTACAATAATGTTGTGTCATTAATCAACATTAATCGACACAATTAAAAACAAGCAAAAATAGTAAGCAAAACTAACCAGAGTCTTATTTCAAATTTTTCATTATTTTCAAAGACTATATTAAACTATCTAAAACAAGTAAAAGTAAAATGAAAATTTTACTTACTGTCTTTTACTAATTTACACAGGCACAGTACTTGAGAGCCCTTTGGAAAGGGTACTAGACTGTTTACACGTTGTTTTCTTCGAGACCGGTAACGATAGAGCCCGCGATAATTAAATAAAACTGCTTCGATTAGTTGTTCACATGCGCTTATATATACAGTAGACTGTATCTCCGACAATCATGGATGCAGGTTTACAAGCACTTTTCTGGTTTCTTCTAAAGAAGAGAACACGAAATTCACGTTTGACAGCGCGTGCGATTCGTCAAAGAAGTTCTTCTGAGAAAATGTACCGAATTAGGAGAAAAACAAGGCTTACGGTTCTCCTATTAACGGCCCTTGTATCGCACTTCACAGTCGAAAGGAGCTTCCGACAAATTCTAAGAACAAGCGCTTGGTTTGATCTTACACACAGCACTTACTCTGACGATCAGTGGTATGCTAGCTTTCGAGTGTCGAAGAATACTTTCCAGTTTCTTCTTCTAATACGCATGTGACGTACGCTAAACAACTGACGTGGAGCACCACGGGCTCTTAAAAACGTAACAGAACGGTACCGAAAAAAGTGCGAGCGTTTACACGTTGAAAAGAAAACAAAAATGTGGGTACGGAACCGTTTTTTATCGGTTCCGTTGCGAAAGGGGTCCATAGCCGCCTATGAACCTTTTTAGGAACGGAACGGATACAACTGGAACGGGTCAAGTACCGTTTACACGTCGAATTTTGTCGGAGCCGTTCGTCTTTTTATCCGGGCCGTTCCAATTTCTTCGCTCGTGCAAACGGGCCTTAACACATTAAAGTCAATATTTACAAGTTGTTGCATTTTGCTGTTTAAACCGTATGGCAAGGAAGTAATCAAGCTCGAGCTCCGTCATTGGAAACTGGGTCGAGTTACCTTTCGCAAAGACTTCTGGGACTGCTACTAAGGACAGGGAATAATAGTTCTCTCTTCTTCTTTTTTTTTTTTTTTTTACACTGACTTTGCACTTCTTTTACAACCTTCAATTTGTTCTAATTTTTTATCAGTTTATTCAACGTTTTCTTACAGAAAAGGTCCCTTTCATTTGCCTGCTTATTATTTGATGTGTTTTTCTTACTTACAATTCGTTGCTTCCGGATTTAACATATCGTTTGCAAAGCCTTTCCAATAGTCATGATCGGGGATATAAGTCACTTGATAACTAAAGACAACTACCAATTAAGTAACGTTCAGAAAAATAAACTCAATTTTCCAAAGTTTCTTTTTTCTAAGTTACGCAGATCTCTTACTAACACTAAAGTTTGGAAACAAACTACATCATTTGGGAACAGAAGACTCCGATTCTTATTCAGAAAATGTAAAAACAAGATAAATAGAAAGGGCAAAGGTTTCTTCTTCTTAATTAGTTGGTTCGTGAAAACTGAGCCATTAAGTCATCATAAAGTTAATCCAGGCTAAATCAAATAAGTTTGTTTGTTGAAAAGTAGAAATGGCTATTTAAAAGATAAATGTTTACCGCAAAGAGTGACCAAAGAGGGTCGAGGAAGGAGTTAACGTCAACTTTGGAGACAAAAAGTCCGAAACTTATATTAACCCCATTTTATTTATAACCCACGAAAGGAGAAATTCTTATTTTCCTGAAGACCGATAAAATTTGCGAAGAACATGACAAACAGTTTGGGCTTCGGCCTATAAAACTAATCTCCGCCGCCTTGTTATCCTGCAAAAGCGCATTATTAGAATTATTAATAAATCTCATTTAATTGGTCATACAGACCCCATCTTTAAGGACCTCGGTATACTAAAATTTAATGATATCCATTTGCTTCAACTGGGCCAGTTTATGTATTCTTGCAAAAATTCATTCTTACCTCCAAAGTTTAATAACAATTTCTCTCAAAGCACTCAATTCCACTCTTACAATAAAGAAATTTCCGGGCCTAACGTCTACCGTATTGTCGCACAAACACTAAGAAGTTCTCGCACTTTTTTCAAGGGCCTCAGCTTTTTAATTCACTTGACAACGAGGTCGTCAACTCTTAATCCCTTTCCTCTTTTAAGAAAAAACTGAAGATTAAATTATTGAGTACGTATGAGAACAGTTCATAAATCTTTCCATCTTCGACTTTTCGCCATCTTTTCTTCAATTGATGTGAAACAGCTCTAGCCCGTAGTTCGCGGAGGCCTAACCTCTCATAAGCTCCTATAGTTTCTGTTAGGTCTCCTCGCCACTTCTTTTTTTTTTTTTTTTTTTTTTTTTTTTTTTTCCTTTTATATTTTTGTAATTATTGTGTGGCAAATAAAAATGAAATAAAAATAAGTAAATAAGTGTCGTCCTTGGTTAGTGCGTTAATTTACAATCTCTTGCGTGATATGGAAAGCCGGGCACGCTTTTCTATTCTTTTTAGTGACAGGTGCATTGCAGTAAATTGATTATTTATCAGGTGTCAGGCCAAGTTTCAACTTGATTAGACAAATTAAAGCTAATGCATGAATAATGATCTTCCTCATGTTTACCACATTTATAATGATGAGTAAATTTAGCTTAATATATTATTTTAATAAAAACACAAATGTATTTCAAACATCATAACAAAAAAAACGATTTATCGACCTATCATCAAACTTCATTAAATTTGAAGAAATTTTGGGGATAAGTTTCTGTGAAATTCTGTACTATATTGCAAGTATTCTCAGTAAAATAAATAACATTTAATTCAGTTGGCAAGTGTCCCGGTCGCCCCTTTTTGAATTTTCTGGATCCGTCTTGGTCTTCTGGCAGCATTGTGACAAATATATGT